AGGAGGGGTTAGCAGGAAGTAATTTATGAGAAGGGAATTTGAGAAGGCTATTTGGAGGAGGTGGTCCCGGCTCATTTTAGAGCTGTCAAGATCTAGTTTCCTTTGAGGACCTTGATAGAGGGCGCATGACTACTGTCTTACAGCTATGCTCCAATTGTTTCCCTTTATTAGGTTTTCCTCGTTTTATGGTCCAGGCTGTGTAACCTCCTTTGTGTTATCATCTCATCATATTTATAATAAATTCGAATTTTCCTTTGAGATTTTGCTATGTTTAATAAAAATGTGGTATGTCTTTGAATTTTATAAATAAATGATTATTTTGATGTTCTTAGAATAAAAAATTACAATAAATTTTTCTCCCATTAGGAAGATAAACCAATAATAGACATATGAACTATCATGTTCATTTTTATAGAGGTAGATATTCTTTTAGCTATAGCTATCTAATTAGGTAAAAATAAACATTTGTACTTTTATGGCTATGTTGTTAGATCAAGGAGTATGAAGAAAGTTTCAAGGACAATGGATTTATTTCTGGAACTAAAGAGACAATAAGGAATAAAGCTATGACTGGCAGTCTGATAAAGAGCCCAACTCTGTTAGGAAAAGCCCAAAAGGCTTTTCTCTTTTCCTGCAACATCTGTCTCAGATTATTGTATATAGTACTTACTTCCATATAGCATACTTTTGACTTTTCTTCAAAAGTCATATGAAGACATGGAGAACCTTTATAATTGATAAGATTTGAGAAAGTTTTTTTGTTAGTAGTCTTTACTGAAATAGATAATTTTTAAGTAAAATGCAGTTTATGACTTTCAAATGCAGTGCATATTCTAAAACATATAAGTGCAAAAAATATAATTATATCTGTCCCATTAGTTATTAAAATTTAAAATACTCCTATTCTTTGACCTCCCAGGTCCATGTCTAGTACTCTGTCCTGCATATATACTGATAGAAGTGCACAGAAATATATGAAAGGATGTTCATTGCAACATTATGACAGCAAAAAAGGAGATTATCTGAATGTCCATTAGTACAGGACTGTTTAAATGAATTATAGTTCACCCCCATAATGGAATAGTATGCCATCATTGAAAAATACGATATTGATACAGAAGGATGCCAAGCTTACCTTAAGAAAAAAAAAGTCAAGTGGCTGAACAGTGTACATAGTATAAAACTATTTGTGAAGTGAAAAGGATATATGTGTATGTGTGTATATATGCCTCTACTTGAATATACATAGACTATTCTTGACATGGTACACAAAATGCATCAAAAATACGTACCATTTAGAAGGCATCTACAGCTTGAATAGTATATGTGAAGGGAGTTTTTTAATTCTTCACTATGTACCCTTTCAATTCTTAGAATTTTTGCACCACATGTGTATTAATAGAGAAAATAATTATTTACAAAATAAAAATATTAAATTTATATTTAATATTATAGTTTATATAAATTAAGAAAGCCCTTTAACAGCCTATCTCTTGGACTAAAAAATATTTCTAGGCGTGTTAAAGGAAATAAAAACTTCATTACTTCTTAGTTTAAATAATTATTGACTTATGATTAATTATCTCTGAAAAATATTACAGCACAAAAATGAACTTTCACCATTATTTCTAATAATTACACATGCCACCAGCTGAGACCTCAAGATTTGAATTGTAGTGATGCAAATTGAGATTTTTTTCCCCTGGTGTTTATGCCTCTGCTGAAGTGTCATGGAAACATTTAATAATGATTCAACCATACTGAGCTCTTTGCTTCATTTGCCATGTTAGGCTTTTGTGCAGATGGGTCCTGATCATATGCTGTTTTTGGCTTGACTCCTATTTTTCGAATCAGAGATGAGTGAAATAGTGTTTTCCATTATTGACTCATCTATATAACTCTCCCCAATATAATGGAGGAATGTTTTTAAAAAATGAATTATTTGTCCTTTTTATGATTTAATATGACATGTTTCCAGAGTTGCGTTTTTGAAGAAAACTCTAGTAATTTATAAAATAGTATGCTTTGACATTGACATATATCCTCATGACTATCAATTTCCATTGTTTTCTAGTCTGATACCATAATTCCCGAGATTATTTTTTTGTTTCTACTTCTCCTTATTTATGTTTGTTTCTACTTTCTTATCTTTGTTTCTATTATCTTCATTGCTATGAGGCTCAGACTTCTAAGAGGAGAAGGTCTGATTCAGTCACTGTCCAATGTAAGGAAACACTTATAGACAGAGTTCTGTCTTTATCAGGTCATCTGTTGACTGTTGACTTTTTATGTCTGGCCAATGCAAAGCTAGAATTTTGATCTCTGATCCAATTAGATGTATCCAGGAAATCAGGGGCATCTAAGTGATAATGTCCTCTCATACACTCAGAATCTGATCTATGGACTGTTCACCAGTCCAACAGCCCAACACACACTATTGTAACTTTTGTTAAATTTACCCTTAGCCCTGCTGACAAAGCAACAGAATAAAAGAATAAACCAGCTTAGGGGAAAGTTCAGATTTGCCTTGCATAACTCATAGGTTCGAGGTTCAACAATAGGGGATAGGACACAGGCTTTGTACTCACATAAAGTTTTCATCCTTACTTGGCAACTCCCCAGGCAGACAACCACAGTCTGAGATTGTGGTTCCTATGTAGAAGAGGGATAAGAATATTTCTTTGTAGGATTGATATGAAGATTTAGTGTGATTGTGTATGTAAATTGAGAACACTGACAGACACAGTAATTATAATAGCAGCAAACATTTGTTGAGTACTTCCGATGAGCCAAGCATTACTCTAAACTCTTTTATGTCTGTTAGCTCGTGTAATCCTCATAACATCCCTATGAGATAATTATCCCCAATTGACAGATGAGAAAACTGAGGCTTGGGCAGTCTCTGTAATTTGCTTAAGATTACATAGCTGGTAAGAGAAGGAGCCAATAGCTCACATCGTTAACATCTACACTACACTGGTGCTCCACATGAAGTCATGGCCCCGTGTTCTAGTGTCTAGGACTTGTTTCAGTCCCCAAGTCTCTGTGGCCTTCTGGGTTCCATCTTCTCCATTAAATGCAACCACAACCCTCAGTTTATGATGGTCAGTGGCTCCCCTGGGAATTTGGAGCTGGTTTAAGGTCAGGGATTGCATTGTGTACCATTTTACCTGCTGTCTACCCACTCCCTAAAGCTGAGAGTTACCAGCTTCTGTGGGATAATCTCACAAGGAGCAGCAGTCTCAGGCTAGGCTGGTTTCCTTGGATTTTGGTGGAGAAAATGTCTTCAGCCTATTACATCTCCATGTCCTCCTGTTTTCTCTCCTCCATTTGTGAAACACTGAACATTTTAAGTAGTGTTAGTCCTTAAGTCCTACTGTGAAGTAGGTAACATTTGCCTCTTTAAACCACCCATCCTATCAGTCCTTTCTGTTTCACTCTTTCATATCTCAGTGAATCAATTTAATTAGAAGCTTTCAGCTACTGAAGAAATAGGAGATTAGTGATAGAATGGGAAGAGGTCATTTAGACAAGAGCTTCTCAAACTTTAATGTGCATATGAATCACCTAGGGACTTGTTAAAATACAGATTCTCATACAGTAGGTTTCGGGTGGGGCCTGAGATTCTGCATTTTTAACAAGCTCCTAGTGATGTCAATGCTGCTTGTCTCTGAACTGCACTCTGAGTAGCAAGTATTTAAAGGTGACATCCTAAGATGGCAGAAGATTTAACTTCTTACCTTTCCAGGCACATTTAACCAAATAAATGAATCTCTCTTAGTAGAATTTTGTTAATGAAATTGGATGCTAAGAAAAAGTTCACAATTTAAAACGCTGCCCATAAACTGCTTACCAGTTAAAGCCATTGCTGGTTTGAGAAAAGAATGGTATTAACTTGCTTATCTGGTAATCAAGTTTTGATATAAACACTGTAAAAACAAGCATTTCCTCCATCAATGTAATTTACTGACTCTCAAATGATTTATATTTATTTTTACTTAGCTTTGTGTGAAAGAGCATTACTTTGCTGCTGCTCATGATTGAGTTGCTTTTTTCGTTTTTTTGAGACAGGGTCTCTATTGGCCTGGCTGGAGTACAGTGGTACCATCTCGGCTCACTGCAACCCCCACTTCCCTGGTTCAAGCGATTCTCCTACCTCAGCCTCCTGAGTAACTGGGATTACAGGCATGCGCCACCACACCTGGCTAATTTTTGTATTTTTATTTAGTAGAGACAGGGTTTCACCATATTGGTTGGGCTGGTTTGGAACTCCTGACCTCAAGTGACCCACCCACCTCAGTCTCCCAAAGTGCTGGGATTACAGGCGTGAGCCACTGCACCTGGCCCATGGTTGAATTTCTTATAACTAGGAAAGCAGATGATTAAACTTTGGTGCAAGGGCCACATACGTATTTCCTTTATTTTCTTATTTTTTTCATTTTTTCTTTTGAGACAGAATTTCACTCTTTTTGTCCAGGCTGGAGTACAGTGGCAAAATCACAGCTCACTGCAGCCTCGAACTCCTGGGTTCAAATGATCCTCCTGCCTCAACCTCCCAAGAGGCTAGGACTACAGATGCATGCCACCACATCCATCTGATTTGTAAATTTTTTTTTGTAGAGACAGGGTCTTGCTATGTTGCTCAGGCTGGTCTTGAACTCCTGCCTCGCCTCCAAAAGCATTGAAACTATAGACATGAGATACTGTGCCTGACTCCCTGTGTATATTTCAGTATCTCTTTCTTTGTTCCTCTAATATCACCTACATAAAAGAAAGGTTAAGTCAACTTTTATTTCCCTGAATTTTGATTTGGAGTCAGCTCACTCAGAATGTTTATGAATAATTCTGTTAGAAAATGTTTGATAATGCTAATCTGAATAATGAAATATCATGCAGAGCTCTAGATGTGGAGGTACATTGTGAGTAGAAACCGCCTGTGAAATGAAGCAGCTGATTCTCCTTGTGATGCAAAGGCTTACATTCTTTACTTCTGTTTTCAGGGAGGAGAGCACTGTTACTACCAGGGTCATATCCGAGGAAACCCTGCCTCATTTGTTGCATTGTCAACATGCCATGGACTTCAGTAAGTGTTCAAAAAGTTATTTGTACTGTTTATTTTTTCAATAATTTATTTTCTTTAGTATGAATGCACTATAGTAGATCTCCCTATTTTGTGTCAAGAAATAATTTTAAATCAGTGATGGATCTGATTTTTTTTTTCTATTTTGTGTTTTATAAACCAAACAGATTTTTTTTATTATTATTACACTTTAAGTTCTAGGGTACATGTGCACAACATGCAGGTTTGTTACATATGTATACATGTGCCATGTTGGTGTGCTGCACCTATTAACTCGTCATTTACATTAGGTATATCTCCTAATGCTATCCCTCCCCACTCCTCCCACCCCACAACAGGCCCCAGTGTGTGATGTTCCCCTTCCTGTATCTAAGTGTTCTCATTGTTCAATTCCCACCTATAAGTGAGAACATGCGGTGTTTGGTTTTTTGGCCTTGGAATAGTTTGCTCAGAATGATGGTTTCCAACTTCATCCATGTCCCTACAAAGGACATGAACTCATCCTTTTTTATGGCTGCATAGTATTCCATGGTGTATATGTGCCACATTTTCTTAATCTGGTCTGTCACTGATGGACATTTGGGTTGATTCCAAGTCTTTGCTATTGTGAATAGTGCTTCAATAAACATATGTGTACATGTGTCTTTATAGCAGTATGATTTATAATCCTTTGGGTATACACCCAGTAATGGCATCACTGGGTCAAATGGTATTTCTAGTTCTAGATCCTTAAGGAATTGCCACACTGTCTTCCACAATGGTTGAACTAATATACAGTCCTACCAACAGTGTAAAAGTGTTCCTATTTCTCCACATCCTCTCTAGCACCTGTTGTTTCCTGACTTTTTAATGATCACCATTCTAACTGGTGTGAGATGGTATCTCATTGTGGTTTTGATTTGCATTTCTCTGATGGCCAGTGATGATGAGCATTTTTCATGTGTCTGTTGGCTGCATAAATTTCTTCTTTTGAGAATTGTCTGTTCATATCCGTTGCCCAATTTTTGATGGGGTTGTTTGATTTTTTTCTTGTAAATTTGTTTGAGTTCTTTGTAGGTTCCGGATATTAGCCCTTTGTCAGATGAGTAGGTTGCAAAATTTTTCTCCCATTCTGTAGATTGCCTGTTCACTCTGATGGTAGTTTCTTTTGCTGTGCAAAGCTCTTTAGTTTAATTAGATCCCATTTGTCAATTTTGGCTTTTGTTGCCGTTGATTTTGGTGTTTTAGACATGAAGTCCTTGACCATGCCTATGTCCTGAATGGTATTATCTAGGTTTTCTTGTAGGGTTTTTGCGGTTTTAGGTCTAACATTTAAGTCTCTAATCCATCTTGAATAAATTTTTGTATAAGGTGTAAGGAAGGGATCCAGTTTCAGCTTTCTACTTATGGCTAGCCAGTTTTCTCAGAAGGATTAACGGAATCCTTTCCCCATTTCTTGTTTTTGTGAGGCTGGTCAAAGATCAGATGGTTGTAGATGTGTGGTATTATTTCTGAGGCCTCTGTTCTGTTCCATTGGTCCATATCTCTGTTTTGGTACCAGTACCATGCTGTTTTGGTTACTGTAGCCTTGTAGTATAGTTTGAAGTCAGGTAGCATGATGCCTCCAGCTTTGTTCTTTTGGCTTAGAATTGTCTTGGCAATGCGGGCTCTTTTTTGGTTCCATATGAACTTTAAAGTAGTTTTTTCCAATTCTGTGAAGAAAGTCGTTGGTAGCTTGATGGGGATGGCATTGAATCTGTAAATTACCTTGGGCAATATGGCCATTTTCATGATATTGATTCTTCCTATCCGTGAGTGTGGAATGTTCTTCCATTTGTTTGTGTCCTCTTTTATTTCGTTGAGCAGTGGTTTGTAGTTCTCCTTGAAGAGGTCCTTCACATCCCTTGTAAGTTGGATTCCTAGGCATTTTATTCTCTTTGAAGCAATTGTGAGTGGGAGTTCACTCATGATTTGGCTGTCTGTCTGTTATTGGTGTATAAGAATGTTTGTGATTTTTGCACATTGATTTTGTATCCTGAGACTTTGCTGAGGTTGCTTATTAGCTTAAGGAGATTTTGGGCTGAGACGATGGGGTTTTCTAAATATACAATCATGTCATCTGCAAACAGGGACAATTTGACTTCCTCTTTTCCTAATTGAATACCCTTTATTTCTTTCTCCTGCCTAATCGCCCTGGGCAAGAACTTCCAACACTATGTTGAATAGGAGTGGTGAGAGAGGGCACTCCTGTCTTGTGCCAGTTTTCGAAGGAAATGCTTCCAGTTTTTGCCCATTCAGTATGATATTGGCTGTGGGTTTGTCATAAATAGCTTTTATTATTTTGAGATGCATCCCATCAATACCTAATTTATTGAGAGTTTTTAGCATGAAGGGCGGTTTAATTTTGTCAAAGGCCTTTTCTAACTAAGCAGATTTTTAAATCAGGGTTGCACATGGCCGGGCTTGGTGGCTCATGCCTATAATCCCAGCACTTTGCGGGGCCGAGGGTGGCGGATCACCTGAGGTCAGGAGTTCGAGACCATCCCCGCCAACATGGTGAAACCCCATCTCTACTGAAAATACAAAAATTAGCCTGGCGTGGTGGCAGGAGCCTGTAATCCCAGCTACTTGGGAGGCTGAGGCAGGAGAATCGCTTGAACCTGTGAGGCAGAGGTTGCAGTGAGCCGAGACCATGCCACTGCACTCCAGCCTGTGGGATAGAGTGAGACTCTGATTTAAAAAAAAGAGAAAGAAAGAAAATAAAATTTCTACATTTTGCAAAAGAAAGAAAACATATATATTGTCAAGAAAAAGACAAGAAGCATACATTAAGATGATGCTAGACTCCATCTCAAAAAAATTCAATAAAATTAGAGTTGCAGAAAACAGAGGCTTTTGAATTTCACAATGATACCTTAAAATAATATTTGAAGCATTTTTCTAGTTTCATCCAGATTCAGACAGGAGTGGTTTGGGTTAACTTCGGTGTCTATTTCTGTGGATGTTTAGCCCCTTGAAATACCCCTATTCCTTCTTCATACGTTTTTATGTTTTCATCAAATAATAGAAGTTTCGGTAAATGGTAACTCTTGTCTCCTTACACAAAGAGTAAAGGCTTCTCATGACCTCAATAGCGCATATGTCTTTGCCCCTTTTTTCAGCCTGAATCCCACCTAATTAATAGCAAATCTGTGGGAGGGTCTGTCGTTTCTCAGAGATCTCCAAGGAACAAAGTTCATCCTTCCTCAGTGGCTTGCTTCCTTTCTCATAACCTTCTCTGTCGAATACTGTTTGCTGGTGTTTAACATGGGAATACGTCCACTTCCTCCATCCTGTCGATATGATAATGCACAGGTGGTTGTTTCTTACTTGTTTTGTAACCCTTTATAAAGCTACCATGTCATTCCTCAGCATTCTCTTTTAACTAAATCATTTCATTTCCTTCTTGTGTGTTTTAATTTTTGTCACAGAACAAGCCAGCACTTTAGTTTTGTTAAATTTTCGTTGAGGAACTTTAAAATAATTCCTTTTTGTTACCAAGTTAGATATGTGGCTTTTCATCTAACAAGCAGTTACTGGGTGTTTCCTGTGTGCCAACCCTAGGAATATTAAGGCAATTGAAACACAAGTCCTGGGAGTTCACAGTCTCATGAGGAGTCCAAATCTAGCCCATTTCCTGATGTGGAACCCCATAGGTATATTTGATTTTTTTTTGAGAGAGAGGAATAAAAAAGGGGAAAAATGCAAGCTAAGCATTGTCACTGAAGAACAGGAAGCACCTAAGGGCTCCGGAGACATGCCACCTGAAGACGGTGGAGTGCAATAGGTTGGAATAGCATATCCAAGGGAGCGGGTTACACTGACAGATCTTAAATCTAGGAAAGAGAGCTAATGGACACGGCCAGAAAATCTAGCTAGTCTGCCTGAGTGACACCTCTAGTCAGGATCTGGGAGTAAGCATATTAGGCAGAAAGGAAAGAAGAATATAAGGGTGAGTTAAATAACCAGAGATAGGAGGCCATGTGCCTGAGAGCATGGAAGACTTCCATTTCCTTGTTTGTGCTAAAAGAGTACTGTGAATAAAGGTGTACATTTATTTACTTTAAATACATTATTTGAAGAAAGAGGTTTTTGCAAACATGGAATCCATGCTTAATATTGGGCAGTCTCTGTTTTCTTAATAGGAAAAAGAAATATTGAAGTCCTTTTCAGCAGTAGAATTGTTACATCTGAACTCAAGACAAGCACATCTGTCACCTAGGAATAGTACAGTGAGACCTGTCCCCATTTGTGACAGCAAGTGTATATTGGAGGGTAATAAATGAGGTGGTTGTTTTCCTTTCTCTCTCTTAAAATCTCAATCCAAAGTCATAGTGTCAGCATCTTTCTCAGTACTCGTTCCAGTCTGCCTTCTGGTTTTCCAAATGGGCTCAATGTTGTCAGAATCAGAGAGAAGATATTTGTGCCTTCTAAGGGCTATAAATGGACCTGAGAACCTAAGACTGATACCTGTTAGTAATCCTACTATAGTTATGTAAAGAAGGATTGAAAAATAACTTTTAGGCCGGGCATGGTGGCTCACCCCTGTATTCCCAGGCGTGAGCCACTGTGCCCTCCCTTTCCTTCCCTTCCCTTCCCTTCCACTTCCCTTCCCTTCCACTTCCCTTCCACTTCTGTTTCACTTCCTTTTCACTTCCATTTCACTTCCCTTTCTCCTCCCCTTCTCTTCCCCTTCTCTTCCCTTTCTCTTCCCCTTCCCTTCCCCTTCCCTTCCCCTTCCCTTCCCTTCTTCTCTTCTATTCTCTCTTCTCTCTGTTTTATTCTTTCATTCATTTGTTCATTCGTTCATTCTTTCTTTTACTCTTTTCTGTCAGTCTCACTCTGTCCCACAGACTGGAGTGCAGTGGCGTGATCTCAGCTCACTGCAGCCTCTGCCTCCCAGGCTTAAGTGATTCTCCTGCCTCAGCCTCCCAAGTAGCTGCGATTATAGGCACCTGCCACCATGGCTGGCTAATTTCGTATTTCACTTTGGGAGGCTGAGGTGGGTAGACCACCTGAGGTCAGGAGTTTGAGACCAGCCTGGCCAACCTGATGAAACCCTGTCTCTACTAAAAACACAAAATTAAGCTGGGCATAGTGGTGGGTACTTGTAATCCCTGCTACTTGGGAGGTTGAGGCAGGAGAATCACCTAAGCCCGGGAGGCAGAGGTTGCAGTGAGCTGAGATGGTGCCATTGCACTCCAGCCTGGGTGACAGAGTGAGACTCCGTGTCAAAAAAACCCGAGGAAAAATAACTTTTAGGAGATTGTATAGTAACTGGATTAGGAATAGAACTCAGAATCCTGCCTTAGTTATTTATTTTTATTTATTTTATTTTTGAGATGGAGTCTCGCTCTGTCACCGGGTTGGAGTATAGTGGCACGATCTCAGCTCACTGCAACCTCCGCCTCCCAGGTTCAAGCCATTCTTGTTCTCAGCCTCCTGAGTAGCTGGAATTACAGGTGCCTGCCACCACGCCCATCTAATTTTTGTATTTTCAGTAGAGACAGGGTTTTGACATGTTGACCAGGTTGGTCTTGAACTCCTGACCTTGTGATTCGCCCACCTCAGCCTCCCAAAGTGCTGGGATTACAGGGTTATTTTAATTAAGTAGATTTTACTTCTCCTTTTAAGAATGTTTTTATTTGAAACTAAATAAAAATAAACAGAAAACCTATCATGCGTCTTGGAACATTGTGAGAATTGTGTATGATCATTTTAAGCTTTCTTAGACTTTTATGAGCACGTAGGATAAATATACCCTTGTATCATCTTGTTATTTAGTAATTATTACTTCTCATCTTAACTTTACCTTCTGAACAAAAATTTCTGGAAGAAATATTTTGGGGCAGTGTTATGAAATATTGAATAATGTATGTTGTCCCAATTACAGTGGTTTAGATATGAGATGTATTATGTCATCCATGACTCATCCTTTATAAATTACCAAGTGTGTATTTTTTTTCATTTTTGATTTCTTAAATCAGTTGAATAACATAAATAAGGGAAAATCAGATTCGTATATCTTTCCCATAAAGAACCTGCAAGGTCACGTTTGTTCAGAGTCAAAGGACTAATACGCAATGTTTTGGTTTTGGTATGTTTGGTGTTATGACAAAAATCTTGTTACTATGGGAACCTTAAAGAATGGAGTTAAATGTGAGTTTATTGCCCTCTTGTGGAAATTTGTAAGAATGGCTTTTTCCTTTCAAAATCTTATTTTGATACAACCTTTTGAAATTTTAGCTCAGTTGGTCTGTGATGACTTAGTCTTAGCTATAGGTTTTTATCAAGTATACTGTTATGGACTCAATATAAAAGGATTTATAGAAATAAAAATATTTCAGTTCTCAAAGCATATAGAACACAAGTATTTTTTCATTATTAAGGAATTAATAATGGCACATTATCATATAGCAATCTAGAGTCTTCTGAGATACAGTGTCAGAATCTGTTGTCTTCATATTGCTTACATGATGTGTAAGTCCACTAAAAAGAAATGACTTTCCCATTGGACGTTAACCTAATGTAAGGATAAATAACACTCAGTACTATTTTAACAAAGTAATCTGCTTGCTACTTTGTTGGTGTTGCCACATGAATTTTGGCAAAGTGTGATGGTTTCATATGACTTTCTGGATGGATCTGGCTAGTTCTCAGCAAGGGTAGAGAGATACTCCCTGCCATATTTGGTCTACTTTTTTGAAAGGCTCTCCGTCTGACTCCTTGGGCACATATTGTCAGTAATGTCTTACAAACTGCATCTGTTTATCTTTAAATTCCAAATAGAATGTCATCCAAATTCAGAAAGTACATGTGGCTGAAAACAGTGCAGCTGTGAGAACAATCATACTGTGAGTATACAGAAGTTGAGGTCATGTGGAAGATGTTATAGCAGGAATGAAAGAATTTGGATAGAGGCAGAACTTGGAGGCCATTATAATTATAGCTCATGGAATTTCACCAGTTTCACTAAGTCTTCAATGAAAAACAAATACTAGTTTATGTTTAGGAGCGTGGCTGTCATATAGTCATTTCTACCAAAAACTAAAAAATTACCACAGAAGCTCATAGCTTTACTACCCTCAGATGCCTGAATGATAAGACAAGTTTCTTTAACATCATAAAGGGTCTGATCTCAGTAAAAGGATCATATTTTTCTAAAAGCAGCAGCTATCAGAATCTGTCTGAGTGGGAGTTGAGGCCATTTGTATATTTAAGTGCTCTCCAGAGGATTTGTCAGATGGCTGGTAGCCAGCCCCAGCCTACGGGGTCCAAAATGGATCTTTTTTTTTTTTTTTTTTTTTTTAAAGAAATGTAGGGTTTTGCCCTGTCACCCAGGCTGGAGTGCAGTGGCACAGTCATCAATCACCGCAGCCTCAAACTCTTGGGCTCCGGTGATCTTCCCACCTAAGCCTCCCAAGTAGCTAGGACTACAGGTGTGCATCGCCAGGCCCAGCTAACTTTTTAAAACCTTTTTGTAGAGAGAGAGTCTTGCTGCTCACTACATTGCCCAGGCTGGTCTCAAACTCCTGGCCTCATGTGATTCCCCCCACCTTTTCTTCCAAAGTGTTGGGATTCCAGATGTGAGCACCATGCCCAGCTCAAAACTGAACGCTTAAAGAATTTGCATCCTTCCCTCTGCTCCCTGCTTCCCTAGGCCCATCCCAATAAGCTCCTTCTGCATCCCCCCTTCCCCTCCCTGGCTTTTTTTTTTTTTTTTTTTTTGAAACAGGGTCTCACTCCATCACATCGTTTTTTTTTATCTTGTTAAATGACACATCCGTTTTTCCAGTTGCTCAGGTCAAAACTTGGAGTCTTCACTAACTCTTCTCTGTTTTACATACTTCGTTTCAAATCCATTAATAAATCCTATTGGTTCTACTTTCAAAATATATCCAAAATTTGACCAGTTCTCACCACTTCCACTATTACTGCTCTGATCTAAGCCAGTACCTTCTTTCACCTGGATTATTGCAGTAACTTCCCTACTTCTATCCTTGCTGTGCTAAAAATTATTGTAACACAGAAGCTGGCGTGATCATTATAAAACTTAAGGAAGTTTGTATTTCCCCTCTGCTTAGAACTTTGCAGTGGCTCTTCATCTCTCTTAGAGTAAAAGCCAAGGCCCTAGGAGGTGCCCAGCTGGTATGGCCCCCATGGCCCTCTGGCACCATTTATTGCCCTTCACCTGATTATTTTCTTCCCTAGAATTTATCACTGTCTCTCTCTCTCTCTATATATAGTATGTCCTCCCTAGAATACTCATCAGCACCACAAGGACAGATAATTGGTCTGTTTTATTTGCTGTTGTGTCCCTGTAAACATGTCCCTGTGCTCTGTAAACATGTTGATTGAATGCATGAATGCATGAATGTAGGTAGGTAGCAGGTTGCAAATGGGCAGTTCATGGTCCCATCTGTCTGGGCTCTATTCCTATTTCTGCTCTTACTGGTTAAATAATTTGGCAAGTTACTTTATCTCTTTGGGTTTCAGTTTCCTTACCTGTAAAATAAGGATAGTCGTTGTACTTCCCTTGTAGATTGGTGGAAAAGATTAAATGAGTGTTTAGCTTGTGGCACGTTGTTCAAATGTGTTAGCTCTTGTTACTAGAGCATCTTCCATGTTTATGGTAGGTTGGTCATTCTCAGTATAGTCCCTGAAAACCTGCCTCAGGATCACCTGGAGCTTATTTAAAATGCAGTTTCCTGGGTTCCAGTCCAGAAATCTGAGAAAAGTCCTGAAAGACCTGCGTTTTTACTAGCTCTCCAGGTGGCTTTTTGCATATGAAAATCTGGGAATTCTATGTTAGACGGAGGAGTGATGGGCAACAGCTAGAGCATGGCAAACCTGAGCATGGGGTCAGGTGAGGATGAGGGGACTCTACCTATAAGGAATCGGAAGAAGGGGCCTTTCCCTCTCAGTGGTGTGTGTGGTGTGTCTGGAGGTGATGGATGGGACTGGGAAATGGGCATTGAGAAGCAAATGGGTCCTCTGGCTGCTGCTGATTTTAAAATGATCTTGTTCTGGGATGAGAGTCAATAGCCATGCCTAATTATTTTCTTGTCATTGGCAGTGGGATGTTCTATGACGGGAACCACACATATCTCATTGAGCCAGAAGAAAATGACACTACTCAAGTAAGTGCTTCTTCTGTTTGTTGTGGCAAATGGAAATGTTTGTGCTGAGAGCTTTTTTCCTCTCCTTTTTTTTCTACTTTATTTCATTTTTATGTTGTTTAGGGTTAAGATAGTAAACATGTGTATAGATGCTCCTTGACTTATGATGGGTCTATGTCCTGATAAACTTATCATAAGTTAAAAATATTATAAGTCAAAAATATATTTAATACCCTGATAAATGCATCATAAAGTCAAAAACATGTAAGTTGGGGACTGTCTGTATATTTTAAACTAAATATTGAGTAAGTCAAAACCACAAGTGTTTTTTAAAAAATTTCTTGCCGGGTGTGGTGGCTCACGCCTGTAATCCCAGCACTTTTGGAGGCTGAGGCAGGCATGAGGTCGGGAGTTCGAGACCAGCCTGGCCAACTTGGTGAAACCCTGTCTCTACTAAAATCCAAAAATTAGCCAGGTGTGGTGGCATGTGCCTCTAATCCCTGCTACTTGGGAGGCTGAGGCAGGAGTATTGCTTGAACCTCCTGCCACTGCACTCCAGCCTGGGCGACAGAGTGAGACTCCATCTCCAAAACAAACAAACAAACGGCAAATTTCTTTTGTTTCTTTCTCTTTTATTTTGGAAATATAATACTTTCCCTTTGAGGTGTTCTGAAACCTCTATTTCCATCTCCACCCTAATGTGTTATGATCTTTCTTAGTCTGACTTGGCTACCATAACAAAATCCTGTAGACTGGGTTGCTTAACCAACAGAAACTTTTATCTTTATCTCAGTTCTGGGCACGGAAAGTCCAAGGTGCCAGCATGGTTGACTTCTGGTGAGGGCTGTTTGTTTGAGTTGCAGACGGCTGCCTTCTCACTGTGTTCTCACATGGCAGAGAGGGAGAGAGAACTCTGGTTGTCTCCTCTTGTTATAAGGGTACCAGCTATACTGAATGAGGATCTTACCCTTATGACCTCATTTAACATTCATCACTGCCTCACAGGCCTTATCTCCAGACAAAGTCACCCTGGGTGCCAGGGTCTCAATATGAGAATTCTGGGGACACACACACATTCAGTCCATAACAGATCAAATCCACAGGTCTCTGATTTTTCACCTCTCCTCTCTTTTCTAGATTCCAGATTTTTCTCTGTTGTCTGTTCCTTTTAAGGCTCTATGCTGATGAAGTTTAGAGAAACCTGAGTCATCTTAATCCTCTCCCTCACTTTAGCTGAAACATTCATTTCCCACAAATTAGAATAAGTTGAATTAATATTATAGACTACGGAGAAGCATAATACACTTTCATTCTAGCTCTGTACGTACAAATATTCTTCCTTGTATTACACAACATTAGTCAAGCAGAGAGGCAAATCCTTTCAAGAAACATACATGGTTTTTTCACCCATAAACCATCTTGTTTGGGAAATTCTCTGTATTGTATATTATTTTATGGGTACCCACTGCTGCCTGTCTTGTCACTTTGCTTGACAGTATGATTTTTTTAAGATAATATGAAACCTATGACATTCTAATTTTTTTTTTTTTTTTTAGTAATTGGATGAAACCAGATGAAATTATATTTGAGTGTTTATTAACTTTTTAGAAGAAAAATATGACTTTTTATCTCTTGCTTTTTAATATAGCTTATATGACACTTGAATTTCAGAACAGGGTCCACTTTGGACATTTACTTATACCAGGCATCCTGCTCCCCAATACTGTGAAAATTGTTAGCTCTGTAGTCTTTGCCTACCAAAGCTCTCTGACTTTTAAAAGGCTGCAGGGATCCGTGAAAGGAACCAGTAATAAAAAAACATTAAGTCATTTTGCCAAATGTCTTATTTGTCCTTGGGGGAATAGATTCATTCATTTGTTTTCCATTACTATAGGCTTTGGCTTCTCTGTGAAGGCATTTTTCTTCTCATTGGATATTGCTCTGGTGCTGAGAGAATTCAGGAGCGAATAAGAGGGGTTGGGCAACGGTTCATCACCTCTCTAAACCCAGGAGAATGCATAGGCAAGCTGTGGTTCTTTTAAGGGTCTCCAGCTACGTTTGCCTAAGGCTGGAGATAATTCGGTTGTACATGCTTAATCACTGTTGCTTGTGTCATTTCAGGAGGATTTCCATTTTCATTCGGTTTACAAATCCAGACTGTTTGAATTTCCCTTGGATGATCTTCCATCTGGTATGATGTTCATATAGTGACTTTTTATTTAAAAGGCAACTTCGGTAATTTATTTAATGCCTTAGAACTAATCTATTTGTGGAGTATCATTAGCCCACATCTGCTTTTGACGTTTTTAGAGGGAGAGCCAAGTCACATCAAGAGGGAGAATAAAATGCAAACTGGCCTCACAGATGAGTTTGGAAAGATGTGGAGGAAAACTTTAAAAAATTTTTAAATTGAAAATAAGGCACTAAAGGAGAAACAAGATTAGAGCAAGAATTGGTCTGTGAGACAAAGTACATACAAATTCATTCTTGGTGAAATACTGGTTTTGTAAACATAGGGATGAACTCTTAATCATTTCCCTATTTATTGTTTTCCTTGTCTCTTTTTTGCTGTAGCATTTTAAGAAAGAACTATTATAGATTAACTTTTGTTATCATTATGTGCTATTTGTGAAATTAGTCTTTTCTTCTCATCTAAACTGATATGGACCTAGGTTAATTTTAAGAGTGTTTGTCTCCTAAGATTACTTATGATTTACTATAATAAGTTAGAAGAAAACAAGAAATAGACAAATGTCAAAAATACAAATTTTGTGAAATATTTTCAAAAGTAAGCTTATTTATTTTAGGTCGAATAAATGGACCTAGCAACCTATGTTGCTTCTAGAGTTGCTTCCAAGTCTTCACATGACAAGAAGGGCGGTGCATGCATACTTTGCCCTCCTTAGTGGAGCAGTGATTATGTAGGGTTCGTTTCTCTTTGACTGTGCTGGACTCATTTATTTTCTCCTGAAGACAGACAGCACTCTGAATATCTTTATTCAGAAGATATTGGTATGGAGATGCTTCCTCCCCTATTTAGTGAACCTTAATTAATTAATTAATTAATTAATTTTTTGTTTTGTTTTGTTTTTGAGACAAAGTCTTGCTCTATCGCCCAGGCTGGAATGCAGTGGCATGACCTCAGCTCACTGGGTTCAAGCAATTCTTCTGCCTCAGCCTCCCGAGTAGTTAGGACTATAGGCATGCACCACTATGCCTGGCTAATTTTTTTATTTTTAGTAGAGACAGGATTTCACCGTATTGGGTAGACTGGTCTCGAACTCCTGACCTCGTGATCCACCTGCCTCGGCCTCCCAAAGTGCCAGGTTTACAGGTGTGAGCCACCGTGCCCAGCCTGATTATTTTAATTTTTAATCTCATTTTAAGCTTTGCAGCAGCCTTGTAAGATTAATGTTATTCCCGGTTTGTAGATGAAGAAACAGAGCTCAGCTAGTTTGTCTTTTCCAGGGTCCCACAGCTAGCAAGGGGTGAAGTTGAGTTTTGAATTATGACACTATGAAAATGTACTACGGTAGAGAATCACAGAGGGAAATGGAAAAATCGCCAGCCTGAGAGTAATCCTAAACTAATGCTTAGAAAATCACTTAGAAGTTTACATTGTCCTTTCATCAGAAAATGAAATAAATGTTTCCTAATGTTCCTTTTTCTCTGACATAAGTTTTTAACTCCTTATCCTCCTGTAATTTCCCTGAAGAGAATGAACATTCTCTCCCCTTCTTTCCTGCTGCCAGAGGGAGAGAAGATTTAATAGAATTTACTATTTTGAAAAATTTTCAAATGGGAATATAGATGCTCTTACCTCTCACAGACTTTTTAGACGGTTCTTTCAGTGGTCTTATAAAACTTTTTACAATCCCTATTCTGATAAGAAAATAAATCATGACTAGCTGTGTGGGAATAAAGCTATAATTTAATGGGTATTACTAGAAGCAGTCAACATTAATTAATATTTAAAGTAATAAATAAAGATTTTCCCCTAAAGACTTGATTGTAGGCTTGCTAGGAATTTTTTTTTTTTTTTTAGGAAATTGTTCAGGGTTTCTTTCCAGCAGAAACTTTGATGGTGACTTGGCAGTTTTGCTGTTATTAAAATGATTTTTAGACATATTCTTTGAAAACTCAGGTCTGTTTCAATTAGTTTCTAGTTTTTCTCATCAGAAGTTGGCACTGTCAATTTTGAGAGAGTTTTGTCTCCCAACATTACTTATGATTTACTGTGATAAATTAAAAGAAAACAAGAAATAGACAAATAAATGTCACAACTACAATTTCTGTGAAATAGTCTCAAAAGTAAGCTTATTTATTTTAGAATAAATAAAGTTTAACTGGGTTATAGATTATCAACATCATCATCTTGTTATGTTGTATGTATTTCCCAGAGATAGAAATAGGATCAGCTGTTCCCCAAACTTGTTGGACTGTGGAACGTTTCCTTTACGTGGCATGCACCTGTCTCAGGACTAGTGTTTCTGAGAACATATTCTGGGAAAATCTTATTTCCTATGGATGCCTATGTACCCAGTTAAAAAAATATGCAATGAAATATAAAAGTCTTGTGTACTATTCAATAAATTTTTACATACATACACTCTTGTTGACAGAGAGAGCATTTCTGTTACCCCAATAACTTCCTTTGTACCCTCTGTAGTCGGTGCCTCCCACCTCTGCCGTTTCTTTTGTCTGTTGTAGAACTTTATACAGATGGAATCATGTACTATTTGCAGCTTCTTTTGCTTAGCACATGCCTATGAGGTTTATGTTGTCAAGAGTAGCAATGGTTCATTCTTTTAAATTATTGAATATATTGTGTCCTATGAATATACCACTTGTTTTCTGCGGGGGGATGGGTTCTTGCACTGTTGCCCAGGCTGGAGTGCAATGGTGCCATCTTGGCTCACTGCAGCCTCTGCCCTCTGGGTTCAAGCAATTCTCCTGCCTCAGGCTCCCAAGTAGCTGGAGTTACAGGCGTACGCTACCATGCTTGGCTAATTTTTGTATTTTTAGTAGAGACAAGGTTTTACTGTGTTGGTTAGGCTGGTCTCAAATTCCTGACCGGCCTCCCAAAGTGCTGGGATTACTGACATGAGCCACCACGCCTGGCCTATACCACAATTTTTAATCTATTAAGTTGATGGACATTTTGGTTGTTTCTGGTTTTTGACTATTATGAGAAAAGCAACTGTGCATGTTCTGGTACAAGTCTTTTCTGTGGGCACATATTTTCATTTCTTCGGTAAACACCGAGGAATACATTTGCTGGGCTGTAGGGTAGGTACATGTTTAACTGTGTTGAAAGTGTCCTCAAACTTTAGCATGCATCAGAATCATCTGGAGGACTGGTAACCACAGATTGCTGGCCCTATCTTGAGAGTTTTAAATCAGTATTTCTTGGGTGGGTTTGGAGAATTTGCATTTCCAGTACTTCCCAGGTGATGCTAATGCTGCTGATGCTGGAATCACACTTTGAGAACCACCGTTTTATGAGGAATTGCTGAAACCTTTTTCCAAAGTGGGTACACAAAGTGGTATACTTGCATCAGCACTCTGAGAGTTTTAATTGTTCCACATCTTGACCAACATCTGCTCTGTTATTCTTTATAATTTTAGCTGTTCTGGTGTATTTGGTGCTATCTCACTTTGGTTTAAATTTGCATTTTTCTTGTGATTAATGATGTGTAGCATATACACTTATTCGCCACTAATCAGAATTTCTGTCTTTTTGTTGTTAAGTTGTAGGAGTACTTACATATTCTAGATAGAAGGCCTTTGCCAAATATGCCTTATGAATATCTTTTCCCCAGTCTTTGGTTTGCTCATTTACTTACTTAATGGCATCTTGTGATGAACAGATGTTTTAAATTTTGTGAAGTTTAACATTAGTTTTTATCATTATTGCTTTCTCTATGCTAAGTAATTTTTGCTAGCTCCCAAGTTTTGAAGATATTCTCTAGTGTTTTCTTCTAAAAACTCTATAGTTTTATTTTTTATGTTTAGATCTAGGATCCTCTTCAAATTACATTTTGTTCATGGTGAAAAGTAGGGGTTAAGTTTTATTTTATTATTTTTTATGTGAATACGCAATTATTCTAATACCATTTGTTGAAAAGAGTTTCCTTTCCTTTAATCAATGAATTGTTTTGATGTCTTTGTCAAAAAGTATTAATATGAGTCAATTTCGGCTGGGCGCGGTGGCTCAAGCCTGTAATCCCAGCACTTTGGGAGGCCGAGATGGGCGGATCACGAGGTCAGGAGATCGAGACCATCCTGGCTAACCCGGTGAAACCCTGTCTCTACTAAAAAATACAAAAAACTAGCCAGGCGAGGTGGCGGGCACCTGTAGTCCCAGCTACTCGGGAAGCTGAGGCAGGAGAATGGCATAAACCTGGGAGGCGGAGCTTGCAATGAGCTGAGATCTGGCCACTGCACTCCAGCCTGGGCGACAGAGCGAGACTCCGTCTCAAAAAAAAAAAAAAAAAAAAAAAAAAAAAGAGTCAATTTCTTGACTCTTACTTTATTTGGCTACCCTTATCATACTTTGTTTTGCTTACTGTGGCTTTATATAAGTTTTGAAATCAAATAACATAAATCCTCCAATTCTGTTTTTGTCCCCCCAAAATTTTGGCTATTTTGGGCCCTTCACATTTCCCTACAAATTTTAGAAACTACTTGTCAATTTCTATAATTCTGGGATTTTTATTAGAATTGTATTAAAAGTATGGATTAATGGGGAAAAACAGCATATTATTAGTAGTGAGTCTAAAATTTCTTTCAGTATTTGGTCATTTTTAGTGTAGATGTTATATTAGTTATTATCTATTGCTTATTATTGTATTATCTATTGCTGTTTAACAAATTACTCTAAAACCTAGTGGCTTTAATAAACAAACATTATTATCTCATAATTTCTGAGAATCAGGATCCTGGGTGTGGTTTAGCTGGGTGCCTCTGGCCCACGGTGTCATGAGTTTGTAGCGTAACTGTCAGCTGGGACTCCAGTTTCATTTGAAGGCTCAACTGGGGAGGATTCGCTTCTGAGCTCACTCATATGATTGTTGTGAGGCCTCAGTACCTCACCACATGGGCCTCTCCACAGGGCTGCCCCCCACCAACCTGGTAGCTAACTTGTTCTAGGAGAGAGCGAGAGACCAAGAGGAGAGAGAGAATGAGACACGATGCCTAAGATGGAAGCTACAGTATTTTTGTTAACCTGATCTCAAAAGCAACGTCTGATCACTTTTGCTGTATAGTATTTATTAGAAATGAGTCACAGGGTCCAGCCTTCTCTCAAGGGGATGAGATTATACAGTGGCATTGTATTAGTTATCCATTGCTGAGGAATACATTTTTATTATGTACAGAAAAATTAGAAAGTAGCTGAGTAATAAATTACCACAAAATGCACCTCTTAAGACAATACACACTTACTATCTCATAGTTTCTGTGGATCAGGAGTCCAAGAATGGCTTAGATGGGTTCTCCGCTTCAGAGGCCCTCACAGGCTGCAGTCAAGGTGTTTTCTAGGACTTCGTCTCATCTCAAGGCTCAACTGTGGAAGGATATGCAGTGGTTGTTGGCAGAATTCAGTTCTTTTTAGCCTCTTAGACCAAGGGCCTTGGTTTCTTGCTGGCTTTGGCTGATGGTTACTCTTTTTCTCACATAGGCCTCTGCATAGGGCAGCTCACAACACTGGTGCTCGTGTAATGAAAGCCAGTAAGGAAGAGAGTCTCTAGCAAGAGGAGTTACAATCTTACATAATGTTATCTGGAGAAATGACCTTTGCTGTATGCCATTGGTTGGAAGCAAGTTACAGGTTTTACTTACACTCAGAGAGAGGGCGTTACACAAGGGCGTGAGTACCAGGAGGTGGAGACTATTAGAGGTCATTTTAAAGTCTGTCAAATTCTTCTCTCTGGCCCCCAGTGATTCCTGTCTCTTTTACCTACAAAATACATTCTCTTCCTCCCTAGGTCTCTAAGAGTTTCATCCTGTTATAGCATCTGCTCTAAATCTAGAATCTCATTATCTAAATCAGGTCCAGGTGTGGATGAGGGTCTTTGGGTGTAGTTTCTCTTAATCCTTCTGTATGTAAAACTAAAGAGACAAGTTATCTGCTCTATATACTCCCAGGATCCAGTAATGGGCCAGCTATTGACATTCCCTTACAAAAGAGGAAACATTTGAGAAACAAGAAAGACACCGACATTGCAGCTCTGAAACTCTGCTGGGCAAATGTTGACCCTTTTTGATTGGGTTTCAAGGCCTGGAAATAATTCTCCATGACTCTTGGCTCTATGTTCTCAGCTCTTGATTCTGCTCATCTTTCCTTTTCTATGAAAGGTAGTACATATTTGCAGCTGAGTAGTTTTATCAGTCTGCTATTCTAGCTTGCTAAGAGTTTTTATCAAGAATAAGTGTTGAATTTTGTCAAATGCTTTTCTATGTCTATTGAGATGATCATATGATTTTCTCCTTTAATCTGTTAATGTGATGAATTGTATAAATTGATGTTTTGAATATGAAACTAATTTGCATTCTCAAATGGGCCCCAGATGGTTATGGTAGATTATATGTTTGTGTATTACTGGGTTCGATTTGCCTATGTTTTGTTAAACATTTTTAATATAAAGGTTCAGAAAGCATATTGGACTCTAGTTTTCTTTTCTGGTTTTAGTACCAGGGTTTTGCTGGTCTTACAAGATGTGTTAGGAAAAGTTTCCAACTCTTTTTTTTTTTTTTAAGTTTGTGTAAAAGTGGTATTATTTCTTCCTTTAATGTTTGGTAGAATTCATCAGTGAAGTCATCTGGCCTTGCAATTTTCTTGGAGAGTTTAATTAAGAATTAAAGTTATTTAATAGATACAGGATTATTCAGATTATCTACATATACACATGTTCAAGGAATTTCATCTAAATTAACAAATTTATTGGCATAAAGCTCTTCATAATATCCTCATATTATCTTTTTAATATTTATAGAATCTGTAGTGATTTGCTTTCTTTATTGATCAAGTCCTGCTGATCAATTTTATTGATTTTTGTTTTTAAGTTTTTAGTCTCACTTTTTTCTACTTGATTTGTATTTAATTTACTCTTATTTTTCTGGGCTGTTAAGGTGGAAGGTTAGATCATAATTTAAACTTTTTTTTTTCTTTTCTAACATAACCAATTAAAGCTATGCATTTCCCTTCAAGCACTAAATGCCTTACCTGCATCCCTCGTATTTTGACTTGTCATATTTTTACTTTAGGTCAAAACATTTTCTAAATTACCAGGTGATTTCTTCGTTGTCCAATGAGTTATTTAGAAATGTAGAGCTTAGTATCGAAATACTTGGTTATTTTGTTCCAAGCACCTTTTTATTATAGATTTTTAAATTTAATAGAATTGCAATAAGAGAAAATAACTCTGTCATTTCATTTTCTTTAAATAAAATTTATTGGGACTTGCTTTATGATCTATGATATTACCTGTCTTGGTGAATGTTTCATGTGTTCTTGAAAAGGATATGTATTCTTCAATTATTGGGTAAAGTGTTAAAAATGCCAACTTAGTTAAATTGGTTAATAGTGTAAAGTCTTCTGTGTCCATATGATTCTGTTTGCGTTTTTTTTTCTTTCAATTACTGAGGGAGGATTGTTGAAATCCTTAACTGTAACTTTGAATTTGTCTATTTCTCCTTTCAGGTCTGTCACTTTTTGCTTTATGTATTTTGAAACTCTGTTATTAGGTGAATAAACATTTAGGAGCATTGTGTCTTTTTGATGAATCAACCCATTTATAATTAGGAAATAGTTTCCTTTCTCCCAGATGCTTATTGTCCTGAAGTTACATTGTCTGATATTAATATTTCCTTCACAGTTCTCTTGTGATTAATGTTTGTAAGGTGTATCCTCTTCCATACTTTAAATTTAAAGTGTTCCTCTTCTAAACAGCATGTAGTTAAGTCTTGCATTAAAAAAAAAATCCAGTCTCGCAATCTTTGCCTTTTAGGTGCAACATTTAGTCTATTTACATTTAATGAATAATTGATATGAGATGGGTTACTTTTGTAATCTTGTTTTTCTGTTTATCCTATCAGTTTTTTTTTTAATTATAAAAGAGAACTTATTCCCTTTCTCAGCAAATCCCTTGTATGCCCAGGCCATAGCATTCTGAAAAACGACATGATGGGAGAATATTTGAACATGAAATAAAGAGAGAATATTAATTTCCTTACCCTGATTTTATTATTCAGCTTCTTGGTCACAGATTTCTCTGACCATTATTATCTCTCCTTTATGAGCAGTATCCAAAAATAATGATAATGGTTCACCTTGAGTGTTTTATAGCATTATTCCTATAATAAGCCCCTTCAGATTGTTCAATCATCAAAGTTTTAGGAAATCTGTACCCTAGGGAAAGATTGCGACTTTCCTTTCACTTTGTAGAAAAATCCTCCCTTATAAATAACCTAATCTTATATTCAGAGATGAATCTATGTGCATAAACAGTTGATGTATGATTTTCACATCTGCTACCAAGAGCAGATAAAGCCTGAGATTAATTTGGTTACGGGCAAAGAAGAATGTAAATTAATTGGAAAAAATTAACTCAAAACTTTGGTGTCCTATAACAATTTCTTAATAAATTATGAACTCAGAAATGTGTGATTATTTTTTCTACTTCTCATTGCTCGTGTTCTGTATTTTGTTGCCTCGAGAAGGTTAGTAATGGAAGTGAAAGTTGAGTTGGCTGTTTAGAAGATTCCTAGTAAATAATGTAATGATAGTTATAGGAGAAATATGAAAATTTTTTTGAAGTAAATTAGGACAGAAATAATGTTCTATATTTTGCAAATTATATTCACCCTTTAAATGTTTGTTTAGTATTAATATAGTAAATTAATGTTTAGTATTGACATACTAAATGTTTTGTGTGATCATTAAGTATAGCATTATATATTATAAAATTCATAAGAAGGAAGGGCAGGTAAAACTTTGCCCTATATTGAAGAAATCTGACAAATTCACTAAGTTAAATTAAATTTAATTTCCTTTTAGAATTTCAACAAGTAAACATTACTCCACCAAAATTTATTTTGAAGCCAAGACCAAAAAGGAGTAAACGGCAGGTATGTATTCACAGTGGTATGTCATGTTATTTTAAAACAATTGTTAACTGCCAGTCATTTTAATCTACAGTAAGTCTGTGTGAGAGGGTGAGTATTAGTTTGGGAATTTGTCAGGATGTGGTAAACCATAAGAGTGACAGATCTGAAGAAGCAGTAGAAAGGGGAACCATGTTATTTCACAGATGCAAAAAGGATTCAAGACAGTGGTTATAATATGTTTCTTCATCATATTATGGGTTATGAGGCTCCTGCTTGTGGCATCTCAGGTTCTTTCTACAATAGGCTTCTTTCCTTGCCCAGATATGTACCACATCGTGGAATCCACTTGTATGGTTTATATCCTTGTATTTATTACCTTGAATATAACCCCTTAGGAATGAATCAATCCAGTTGTGAAGCCACAAAACGCTTTTGTCTCACTTGAGCAATCTTTGGAGTCCAGGATATAAAATTAGGTCATGGGCTTTATGATTGTTCCACTGGATATTGGACTGGGTAATAATAACTGTTGATATGGTGCTTTAAACCAAATGAAGTCGGTACTATTATTCCCCTTTCACTGAAAGAAAAATGATGACTCTGACATGAGAAAATGACTTGCTCGAATCACAGAGCTGGCAAGTAGTTTAGAAAAGTTAAGAGTTGTGGCCATCAGAATCAAGATGTCACCACTGTGGTGGTGTGGGCAGGGGAGGTGGCCATTAAAAACACAAGATGAAGGAAATAGATCTCTAGTAAGATCAAGAAGTTGAAGGAATCAGGTATCTTCTTTTTATTACCTTGAAATAAAATACATGTTTATAGACAGATTTTTATTGTGAATAATTATTGCTAAATCTTATTGAATACTATTGAATACTTACCTTGTAAAATTCTTATAATAGGGCCTATTATAAGAATTTTAACTATATTAACACATGTAACCCTCAAAAACCTTAAGAGGAAGGTGTTATCACAGGTTAAGTATACCTTTTCCAAGATGCTTGGGACCAGAAGTGTTGCAGATTTTGATTTGTGTGTGTGTGTGTGGCAGCAGGGAGAGTAGGGGTGGATTTCAGAATATTTACATTATACTTAGTGGTTCAGCATCCCTAATTCAAAAATTAGAAATCTGAAGTGCTCCAGTGAGCATTTCTTTTGAGTGTCATATTGGTGCTCAGAAAGTTTTTCATTTTGGAGCATTTGGAGTTTTGGATTTTTAGATGAGAGATATTCAACCTATAATATCCTCATTTTACTGATGAGGACATTGAACATAAGAGAATCAAGAAACTTGCCCGAAGCCACATAGGGTGACTCTGGTGGAGTTGGGATTCTGACCTAGGAAGTCTGGTCTCAGAGAGGTGCTTATAACCACATATACGCCATATATTGCCTCTCAGACCCATGTGTTCCGTGAATTACTACTACGACCTTTATAAATGTGAATGTTTATATATGTATATATACACACACACATATATACACACATATAAACTCATATATAGATTATGTATAAACTAATATATAAACATATATATATATTTATATGAATAGGTAGAGACATATTTATCTTGAGGCCCAGTTAGATAAAATTACCATCAGGATTTATTGTGAAACTATTGTTTTTGAATTATAGACTGAAAGAATAGGACAATATTCTAGAAAGCTAGCTGTAATAGATAACTCAAGACTGACTGGGACTTCTCAAAGCTATTTTAACAAAGACCCCATGTCATTTGGGGATCCTCTGAACCATCCTAGATGAAGGCACGTGACTCACTCCCAGTTTGGAGATTAAATAATAAAAGTGCCAATCACTCCAGTCCCTGTACCCTCTCAGAGATCTTCAGAGGACCCAAAAGAATGCTCTTCATATGTTACTATTTTCAAGATAGACAGTTAAATAAAATTGCTAGATGCAGAAAGGAGTGAAATAAATGGAAGTACAAAATAAAGGATATATTCACATTTAGTTTTATATGCATAAATATTTTTGGAAGGAACCAGTAACTTGCTGTATCCATTGTGGGGGAAGGACTAGGAACTGAGTAGGTGGAGAATAGAGGTGAGAGGAAGACATTCATCTTCTGTTCTTTTATACTTCTTAAATTTTCTGAGCCATGTTAATTTATTACCAACTCAGAAACTAAACAAATTGATGAAAAAATTTTTTAATGCTGAAGGAATAAAAAGGGAAAATTTTGTTTTGTCAGTTTCTTCCATATTTTTTAGGTTTTCACAGCCGAGTTTAGAGGGCTGAATTAGGTGCTGTTTCCTTTCCTGTGTTACAGCTTCGTCGATATCCTCGTAATGTAGAAGAAGAAACCAAATACATTGAACTGATGATTGTGAATGATCACCTTATGGTAGGATTTGCTGTTGTTTTTAAGCCTGTTCGTGCCTAGGGTAAAACTGGTGAGTGTAAAAATATGTTTAGAAAAAACAAGAAGCCCGTCAAGCTGTAACCTGGAGAAGGTATTTGTATAATCAAATATATTTGTTAACTAGCAACAACCTGCAATTAGGAAATATTCATAGGTGGAAATAACTAGCAGTAATTTTTGAGTTTTCAAAAATACTTTGTAACTCAATATCAACTTTTGAATTTGCTTGGTTAGTAGAGGTGCTAATATTTGAATCTCCACTTACTAAAATGACAAGGTTTAAAAAAATGGAAATTCCATTTTATATTGAAAAAGTGAGGCACCAATTATGTGACATTTTAGTTTGCAAGGTACAACTTTATCTTAATAAAAGGAAAAGCAATTTTTCTATTTTGGTGTTACTGTGCAGAAATCATATGCAAATGCTTATATAGCTAACCAGTGAAGATTATTAGGATAAGAACTTGACAAAACTTTCATGTTGTTGAATCAAATTATTTCGACCCATAGTGTTTATATTCAGTTAATGGGCATATTGCAGGCAGTATGACTACATTCATAGCACAGCAATGAGTTATAATGCTAATTGTTCCATGTAACCAAAGTTTTAAACTCAAAATGTTTAATGATGCATATTGCTGAATTTTACTGAAGTTCAGGTACAAGTGCATTTTACTTTGACCTACTTATTTGAGGAAAAGATTATCATTTATTTATGTATGATTAAATACATAATTTAGATCTTAATTATTACAGTTGCTAATAATAATAATCACAACATAATCAGGATTGAGTGCTGCTTCCTTCTTCAAGTTAGGTCTAAGTTTTATCTTTCCACCTATTTGAATCCAGTGAATGTTACTGTTCCCCAGGACTTTTATAAAATAAGTTATAACAACATGTATTTTGAGCATTTTAGATAGTCACAAATTTAGATATCCATAGACATCTGTAGACATATAATATAAGTGAAATGAACCAGGTATAAGACAGCATAGGTGGGTGAGGCCTGTGGTGAAAAGAACGGTGTGTGGCCTGTCTAAGGGAAGCAACTGCCTCTCAGTGTTTGCCAGTTATTACCGGGTGGGAATGCTAATTTTAACTGAAGCCAGAAATTGGATTTTACATGATATTTCCTGATTTTTAAAACACATTTGAGACTAAACAAAGATCTATGTGATCCACATCTGCCCTGTATGCCACCTTGTTGTGACCTTTATCTTAGAGCTTTCTTCTTCCTGAATAAGTCTTATAGAACTTTTCGATTTGTACGCATTTAGCAGTGTTCACATCCACTTTACTGTCTATACCCCTACTTAGATTTGTATGTCTTGCAATTCATAGACAACTTTCGTATGTTTTATCATTTTGAATAACAATGCCGATAAAAATAAATCTATGAAATGGATGGATTGGATATTTTTTACTTCATCTCCCAGATGAATAAATTGAGGCCTCAATCCTTTAAGAGCCTTGTCTCAGGCAACATAGCAGATAAATAACTTGATCTCAATTGACTCTGACATTTTTTTACAGAAAGCACATTTTTACAGAAAAGATTTTCTTTTACATTTGTAGGGATCTTTCAAATTGCACCATGTTTTCTCTGATGAGATGGTTGTTTTCTGATCACTTTGGAAGACCTTCACTTTTTTTCTTTTGCTTTCAGTTTAAAAAACATCGGCTTTCCGTTGTACATACCAATACCTATGCGAAGTCTGTGGTGAACATGGCAGATGTAGTAAGTATCAACCCAGTCCATTATTGCCCTAGAGAATCTTATTTCCTAATTGCTAATAGAATGGATAATATGATTCTTATAGTTTCACTGCTCTATGTTACACTTCAACCAAGGTGTCTAGTAAGTCCCAGGTGACCTTGCAATAGACTTTATTGACTTTGATGTCTGGCTGGGAAGAGGAACTGGTCGAAGTTATCCATAGATATGCCTGAAATTCCATCCTGTGTTTTTCACACTGTAAAAACAGAGGTTGTGTCATACCCCTAACAAAGATATTCACAGTGACTTATAATGATGGAGAAGCAGTACAACAGTTGTACCTTTTTCAAGAGTGCCTGGTGCTGTGGCAGTGATGCAACTAAATAATTCCACTATACCTCCATACTTCCCAAATCTTCCCTTGATGAGGCTGTGCTAGTACCTTCTTCACAAGTCTAATCAGAGCCAGTCAGGTTGTATATAAATTATTTCTTAGGGGAGTCTTCATTGCTCCATTTTTGGCTAAGGGAACTCAAGCATGCATGAATTCTTTTTCCAGGATACCAGAAAACAGATTCAAGTGGAACCTTGAATAGGGTGCAAGTATTCGTCAAAAGGGACCTTTTGTTTCCAAAAAGTGCTCTGTTCTTTGGGTATTAGTCAACAATTTCAGTCTCAGTTACTCAAGGGAAATGCATGTAAATTAGAAAGTTATCTTGCTTTAACTAAAACTCAAAGAATTTTCCATGAAAGGAGTTTTGTAGTCCTGTTCATAAACTGTTTGATTTTACCACATGTACAGCTGATGTGTTCATTTTATTAATATACTAGATATATAAAGACCAACTTAAGACCAGGATAGTATTGGTTGCTATGGAAACCTGGGCGACTGACAACAAGTTTGCTATATCTGAAAATCCATTGATCACCCTACGTGAGTTTATGAAATACAGGAGGGATTTTATCAAAGAGAAAAGTGATGCAGTACACCTTTTTTCGTACGTAACTTCTGTAATGATGTATTCCTTTTTCTGATTTCATGTTAAATGCTTTATTGTGACTGAAATGTATCCTTTCTGCTACATAACACAATTAGGATTTGACATGGCAGATGGCAGATAGATTTGGAAAAAGTTTTAAAGTATAGATTGTTTAAAATTGCCATGAAAGTGTAAGTTTTAATTTTGAGCTATTTTATTACTTAATATTTATTTAATTTTTCAAGATGTTTAAATAGAGCATTTACTGAGTAAAAATACTGCCAGTATATATAGTATTCTTAACTGCAGATAAATTATATTCTTTAAAGTTACTGTCTTTTAAATGTTAATGTTTTCTCTGTTTTTGGTTCTGAGATGACAGCTTAGTATTTCTGGAATTTATTTTTAATTTTTTCTCACTCTTATGTTCTTTTTTTGATAGCATGCATATGTGACGTAATAGCAAATTATATATAGTAGAATTTTAAAAATCTATCATCTAAAGTCAGAACTGTTGAAGAAAGTTATAAAAGGAAGAAAAGATGTATTTTGGGGTAACTTTATATATAACTTCAAATTTAGAGAAAAGTTGCAAGAATACTACAAGGAAATTGCATATGCCCTCTATTCGGATTCATCAGTTATTCACATTTTCCCCCATTTCTTTCATAATTTTCTTCCATTCTCCCTCTCTTCCTTCCATTCATCCATCCTTCAGTTTTTTTGTTTGTTTTTGTTTTTTTTTCCTAAACCTTTTGAAAATAAGTTGAAGACACTTACTGGGGATTTGTTATTAAATAGTATATATTCTCTAAGAGTAAAAAGACATTCTCTTATATAACCACAGTAAATTATTGAAACTGGAAAATTTAACATAAACAATACTTTTATGTAATCCATGGTCTATATTCAAATTTCACCAATTACCTCAATAATGTCTTTTATAGCTAATTTTCCCCATCCAAATCCAATCCAGGATCACACATTGCATTTAATCATCATGTCTCTTTAGTCTCCTTTAATCTGAAAGATTTCCTCAGCTTTCTTTTGTCTATTTTGAGTTTAATACTTTTGGAGAGTATAGGCCAATTATTTTATTGACTGTTCCTCAGGGGAATGCCTGATGTTAAGTTATGTATTTTTGGCAGAAATACCAGAGAAGTGATTTTGTGTCTTTTTCAGAGTACATCATATCAACCAATTATTTTTTAATAGATATACTTCAATTTAAGATATTTATTAATCTTGTGAGAAAACATCCCTTATAAACCTTTTTCTTTGGTTACGTGTATAAACAATTTTCACATTCTTCCCTTGCAACATGAGTATATTGTATAGAAATCTTATGTATATTGAGAAAATAAATGTGGTAAACTAATAATGAGAGGTGTTATGATGTTTGAACTGTGAACAGTAAGCATTTTTCATTTCCTTTTCTAAAAGGGGAAGTCAATTTGAGAGTAGCCGGAGCGGGGCAGCTTATATTGGTGGGATTTGCTCGTTGCTGAAAGGAGGAGGCGTGAATGAAGTAGGTGTGAACATCTGTACAATACAAAGTGGTATGATGGCTGAAAATGTTTTCCTCATACTTAAGAGAGAATTTCTCAGTATTCACATACTCCAGATGTTAGATTGCTACATTGCAAATCAATATGGCAGCCTGTCACAATGGCTTATTCCTGTAATTCCAGCACTTTGGGAGGCTGAGGTGGACAGATTGCTTGAGATGAGGAGTTTGAGACAAACCTGGGTAACATGGCAAAACCTCATCTTTATCAAAAATACAAAAATAGTAGCATGTACCTGTAGCCCCAGCTACTGGGGAGGCTGAAGTGGGAGGATGGCTTGAGCCTGGGAGGCAGAGGTTGTATTGGGCCCAGATTGAGCCACTGCACTCCAGCCTGCGCAACAGAGTGAGACCCTGTCTCTAAATAAGTAAGTAAGTAAATAAATAAATAAATAAAATAAAATAAAAAATTAAATAAAAAACTAATATGGTTACTATAAGTGACCAGAGAACAGACTGGGGAAATAATGGGAGATAATATGTGATGATTATTATATATTCATGTTATACTTGGAATAATTTCCAGATTAAGCTACTTACAGATTAAATTGAGAGAATCTTTACCTTTACCTTCATTGAAAATAAGGCCCTATTATTCACTTTGAATGATTTTCCAGGGAATTGAATAATTTCCTGAAGCATCAGGTTGTCACCTAACAACCCAACTGGATATTTTTTCCTTAATATTTAACAGATTTGGAGATAAGAAAAATAGAGTAGGTTTTCCAAAGGGTTTCTCTTATTCCTAAGGCACTAAACCTATTAGAGATGATTGAAAAGAAAATACTTGTATCTTTAAGAGGCTACAAATTGAAAAATATATCCTCAGTTCTTCAGTTCTTCAGTTTCTATTGCCCAAAGATTGTCACTACCTCCTGTTACTCATTTCATTTGTTTTCTGAAGCCCCATTCTATTCCACTTGAGGGGAATTTCAGGATTACAAGTGGACACAAAGATGAAGAAGTTCTAAAAAAAATTACCGATTTAATTTTATTTTGTATTATCCAAAAGACTGATTTAATTATATACCAATATTGAATTTTTCAAGAATGTCACTGGTGAAATTTGGACTCAGATATACATTTCCAAAACCCAAAAGCTGTGATTATTTCCTGACTTCTAGTATTCCCTGTAAGACCTAATCAAACATGGATTTTTGTTTCTTACCACTTTTTCCCAAATGCATATTCAGTGCTGGCTACAGTGTGTTTAGCCTCTGCTAAAGAAATTGCTTAGAAATTACTTATTTTCAGCGATATTGTGACATTTTTCTCTGGTTCTTTTTCAGTGACAAGTTGGATTTATATATATTTTATTTTTGTTTTTGTTTTTCAGTTTGGGAAAACTGACTTAATGGCTGTTACACTTGCCCAGTCATTAGCCCATAATATTGGTATTATCTCAGACAAAAGAAAGTTAGCAAGCGGTAAGTTTTAGTGCTTGTGTGGTTAGTTGTATTTAAAATAGACTATTTGTAAAATATTTTGGAGCGTAAAATTTTTTGATTTAGTTGCTTGATGAAAAGAATTTGAATGGTAGTAAAAGATAAAAAGAATTTGAATGGTAGTAAAAGAATGGTAGTAAAAGATAAAAGATAAACAGCACAAACTGTTGTTTTCCAAAGTAATACAAATAAATATTTACATTATAGGTGGAAATTTCTATGACTATAGTGAACTTTAAAGCCATGTGATAATAAATTCAAGCTGAATTTAACCTTATAAGGGAAAAAAAAAGCCCAGTTTGTTCATCATAAATGTTTAGTAGAGAATTCTAGGCATATAGGTTTCAGACATACTGTTTTTTTTTTATGTTTTATTTAAAACATCTCTGAACGTGGCCACAGAGGTAGAATTTCCCTGTCAGGATCAGAACTGATAAAAAGCTTAGTTAATAAATGGACCTAGTAAAATATGCTAGGTTTGGTATCTATGAAGAATGTCTTTTCTCAAGTAGGTAAAGTCACTTTACCCTGAATGGTCAAATACTGTGTATTTACCATTAAAATTTGATGATTTCCATTTTTATTTTAGTAACAAACATTGTAAATATTTTTATAATCTGGAATCCCAGCACTTTGGGAGGCTGAAGCAGGTGGATCACCTGAGGTTAGGAGTTTGAGACCAGCCTTGCCAACATGGTGAAACCCCATCTCTACTAAAAATACCAAAATTAGCCAGGTGTGGTGGCAGGCTCTTGTAGTACCAGCTACTCAGGAGACTGAGGTAAGAGAATCACTTGAACCCAGGAGGCGGAGGTTGCAGTGAGCCAAGATTGTGCCATTACACTTCAGCCTGGGCCACAGAGCGAGACTCTTATCTCAAAAAAAAAAAAAAAAAAAAAAAAAAAAAGCTATTACCATTTATAGAGTACTTATTATATGCCAGATGATTGAATGCTTGCTGGTATTACTTCCATTTAGATACTCATTTAATTCTCCAGATAATTCTACAGGGCACCCATTTTTAGCCCCATTTTATAGGTGAAGTGACTAAATCTTACAAGAATAATGTCTCTAAGATTACACATATATCAAATGGCAAACTCAGGTTTTGAACCTTAATATTTCCTGATTCTGAAACCCTTCTGCTTACCCAATAATATTCCCCTGCGTTCTACCAGAAACCTTGGTGTGTGCAGAGACTTTCAAAAATGGTCAAGAAATTATGATAGTTCTCATAAAGGCCTGTGAAACTGAGATCCTTTAATAGTGCCATAAAGTTTTTCATTCTTCCATTGGTATTTGATTAAATAGTTTAAATATGGCCATTTGTTAAAATACAATGGGTTTTTTTGGCAAAAATTATATAATTTTGATAGGGTCAAAGTATATTTTTGTTGTATATTACATAAAAAACTATTGTAAGATGAATTAGAAAGAAGCTATTACTTTTTAAAAGGTATTTTAAGGAATAAAATGGAGATAATGAATTTAAAACAGAAACTGCTTTAGTGCAACTGTGTTCACTTTATAACATGGCATGTGTGTTAATTTTCTCTTAGGTGAATGTAAATGCGAGGACACGTGGTCCGGGTGCATAATGGGAGACACTGGGTGAGCCATTTGTATTTGAAAATAACTCAGTCTTACATTCCCTGCTGTGTTGTTGTCTTCTGAGGAATATGACACTCAATAACTTAGTGCATGGAATCTAGCATTTATAAGAAATCAGAAATAACTATTCTTAATGGTTCTGTATATAAAATATTTTTGCAAAATAACCTCTTATTTATAAAAACAATTGATGTCGACTAAGTTGGTAGACATCAGATATTTTTTTTCTTTAGCCTTAAATCTAGGCTATAAATGTAAGAAATGAGGGACAACTTTGTTTTTGATGGCTTGCCTGCTAATTCCCTTTCCTTTCATTTCCTTCAATTCTAATTAAATGGTTTATAAACAGTACTGTGCTGGTAAGTTAACTCTTGAAAACAAAAATTAGAAAACAGCCTGGATTTGTAGCTTTCTCACTTTTCTGAGGTGTAAATATTCCCGCAATGGCTGACTTCAAGCTGTCACTGATGGCTTCATAATGTGGTATCACTGAAAAGGGAGTTGGGAAGAGAAATGTACAGTCTGCTTTCCTGAGAAAGGTTTTCATTGTATACTGTCCTCCCCTTCACAAGCTCAGTCATCAATGCTTGTCTTTTATTCTTGTAAGTAAATTTTACAGTTATCCCTTTTATTCCAAGCTTATCATTACTGCCCTAGTTTAAACTTTGGCCATCTTTTGCTGTTATTATTTTAATAACATTTCAAATATTGAGTATAAATTGGGTTCAGTGCTTGGGTGATGGGTCCACCAAAATCTCACAAATCACCACTAAAGAACTTACTCTTGTAACCAAATACCACCTGTTCCCCAGAAAACCTATGGAAATAAAAAAAGTTGGAATGCTACTAAAATAATAACAGCAAAAAATGGTAAAAGTTTAAACGAGGGCAATAGTGATACATTTGGAATCATCATCATTAAAAATGTATGAAGAATATAACAGTGGACATTTGTACACCCGTTATCCAGCTTTTAAAAAGTAAAATACTGCATTTGTGGTTAAATCTCCCTTGTGTCCTCCATTATTAATCCTCAACCCCAGCCAAGGTCACCACCATCTGAGTTTGGTTCCTATCATTCTCAAGTCATTCTTTATACTTCTACTGTGCGGTATGTATGTGTGTTGGAGTAAAACATAGCATTTGGTTTGCATGTTTTCAGTTTATGTGAAATACATCATGCTGTATGTATTCTTCTGTGACTTGCTGTTTTTTTTTTTTTATCAACATGATGTTTGTGAGATTTATCCATCCTGTTAATATACAACTCTTGTTCATTAAATGCCATTGTCCTGTTCAGAAATTTTGTGAGTCTCTGATGTCTAAAGAATGTGGTTCAAAATCTTAGCTTCATTATTTAGATGCCCATAATCTTTCCTCATTCTCATCTGCAATCTTCTTTTCCCCTACTTTTCATGATCGGTTTGTTTACCATAATTGTACAGGAATTTCTAGCTTTTTCGATTTGCTAATCATAATACTACATAGATTTTCAGCTTCTTAAATACTTGCTCACCGTAATTGTACATTAATTACCAACTTCATTTGATTTCCTCAATATATTCTCTTCATCTGGAATGCCTTTCCCTTTTTCCTCTATCTAACCACATTTCTAACCATCTGAGATTTGTTATAATTTTAACCCCTGCATTATAATTTAATCATGTGTACTTATGCTGTCTTTCACAAATTAGTTATAAATTTTTGAGAGATTGCTTATTATGTTAACACATATTTCAGACCTCACACCATAATCCTTTGTAAAAACTTGATTTTCAACAAATATTTCTTGATTGTATTTGAATTTTGAACGCGCAGGATATGTATAGCAAGGAAAATAAATGATGGAGGGAATATATATGCAAACATGTGTTTAAAATATTTTTCCAGTCGGGTGCGGTGGCTCATGGCTGTAATCCCAGCACTTTGAGAGACTGAGGCAGGCAGATCACTTGAGCCCAGGAGTTTGAGACCAGCCTAAGCAACATGGCGAAACCCCATCTCTACAAAAAATACAAAAATTAACCAGGCGTGGTGGCACACACCTCTAGTCCCAGCAACTTGGGAAGCTGAGGTGGGAGGATCACCTGATTCTGGGGAGGTTGAGGCTGCAGTGAGCCATGATTGTGCCACTGAATGCCAGCATGGGTGACAGAGTGAGACCCTGTCTTTAATAATAATAATAATAATATTAATAATAATAATAAAGTAAAATATTTCTCCAAAAATCTTTGGACTTTTTGTTTAGTAATGAGAGGAAATGATAAAAGTTCTATAGATGCAGTTTTAACAATTAATTTCATACTAGAGATTCTTGTCTTTTAAATCCTATGTAGTATATTTGATTATCCTGATTATTAAAATGTTTAATAGATAATCTGCATAGCATTAAGCATAATATACAGTGAAGTCAAATGGCTACCTTCAGATACATACAGCTGTGTACACTGGAATTCTTACATTAAAGAGATGGAAGTAAGAGAAGAGCCGTTTGTATAAAACTATGGGATATGATGCAATAATTTGATTACGCCAAATATCACCAAGCAGCAGTAATTATGAACATTTGTTCCCATGGGTACATCCCCTACCATTTCTACTTTCTGAAGTTCTGTACAGCTAAATATTAGAAAGCAGGGTTGAAATGAATACCTTCAGTCCTATTTAAAGGTACAAAAATTAAAATTTGAAGAATGCACTGAATACAATAGCTATATTATTCTGTGAAACAGAAGTTGTGGGGGCAGAGGCAGGGGAGAGACATGATATCTGCCTTCAGATATTTGAAGGGGCTATGTTAAGGCAGAGGAATAAGGCTTTATATAGTTAAGAATACAGAACTGTTCACAAGTTAGAAATTAGATGTGGAAAAATAAAGGTAAGAACAATCCACAAATTTTCAACTGTTCATATATTTTAAAACCTTCCCTGTTGGGGAGTATACTGTCACAGCCAAGTGTTGGAGAACAGACTGAGCTTCCTCCCAGCTCTGCAGTGGGCAGGAGGGTGGGCTTGGCTATGACCCCTGAGGGTGCTTTTACAGAGAGGCCTTTATAGGAGGCTCAACTAGACTTTGACTTCTAAGAGTCCTACACTAAGAGTTAGTGACTTTTTACTTTGGCAGTATGGATCCAACTCAGGTTTTGACCAGTAGGATAAAGAGGGACTTTGGGGCTGGACATGGTGGCTCACATCTGTAATCCCAGCACTTTGGGAGGCTGAGGCAGGCAGATCACCTGAGGTCAGGAGTTCAAGACCAGCCTGGCCAACATGGCGAAACCCCATCTCTACTAAAAGTACAAAAATTAGCTGGGTGTGGTGGCAGGCGCCTGTAATCCCAGCTAATCCCAGCTACTAAGGAAGCTAAGGCAGGAAAATTGCTTGAACCCAGGAGGCTTAAGTTGCAGTGAGCTGAGATCACGCCACTGTACTCCAGCCTGGGCAACAAGAGTGAGACTCCATCTCTAAATAAATAAATAAATAAAGTGAGACTCCGTTCCTAAATAAATAAATAAATAAATAAATAAATAAATAAATAAAAGGTGGGACTTTGAAAAAAGACCCATTTAAATTTGATAACTCTGGCAGATATATGTTGGATGGATTAGAGGAAAAGGTGATAAAAACATTGGCTGGAGTAAAAGCATTGCAAGGAAAAAGGAAGTAATATTGTTACTGTAAAACAGGTGGCTTGGTTGGTCACTTCGTGGGTATCAACTTAATTATCATAACCAAGGAAGATTAAATGAAAGAGATTTTATTACTTTTAACAAGTAAGTAGAATACCATGGATAGTTCCCAAAGCAGTGTCTCCCTGAGCAGGAGGCTGTGTCAGGTTTTATAAGCATAGGATAATGAGGCATGATCTGACTGGATCTTGCAATGAGGTGGTGCTAGGAGGCATTATCGGACTGGATGCCAGAGCTCAATCTGATTGGATACTGGATCCTGTCATTCAGTGTATATTAGTTTGTTTTTCATTGTTATAAATGAAAACCTGAGATTGGGTAATTTATAAAGAAAAGAGGCTTAATTGGCTCACAGTTCTGCAGGCTGTACAAGCATGGCACCAGCATCTGCCTGGTTCCTGGTGAGATCTCAGCTTTTTTTTTTTTTTTTAATTTATTTATTATTATTAAACTTCAAGTTGTAGGGTACATGTGCACAACGTGCAGGTTTGCTACATATGTATACTTGTGCCATGTTGGTGTGCTGCACCCATCAACTCGTCATTTACATCAGGTATAACTCCCAATGCAATCCCTCCCCCCTCCCCCCTCCCCATGATAGGCCCCAGTGTGTGATGTTCCCCTTCCCGAGTCCAAGTGATCTCATTGTTCAGTTCCCGCCTATGAGTGAGAACATGCGGTGTTTGGTTTTCTGTTCTTGTGATAGTTTGCTGAGAATGATGGTTTCCAGCTGCATCCATGTCCCTACAAAGGACACAAACTCATCCTTTTTTATGGCTGCATAGTATTCCATGGTGTATATGTGCCACATTTTCTTAATCCAATCTGTCACTGATGGACATTTGGGTTGATTCCAAGTCTTTGCTATTGTGAATAGTGCTGCAATAAACATACTAGTGCTGCAATAAATATACGTGTGCATGTGTCTTTATAGCAGAATAATTTATAATCCTTTGGGTATATACCTAGTAATGGGATGGTTGGGTCATATGGTACATCTAGTTCTAGATCCTTGAGGAATCGCCATACTGTTTTCCATAATGGTTGAACTAGTTTACAATCCCATCAACAGTGTAAAAGTGTTCCTATTTCTCCACATCCTCTCCAGCACCTGTTGTTTCCTGACTTTTGAATGATCGCCATTCTAACTGGTGTGAGATGGTATCTCATTGTGGTTTTGATTTGCATTTCCTGATGGCCAGTGATGATGAGCATTTTTTCATGTGTCTGTTGGCTGTATGAATGTCTTCTTTTGAGAAATGTCTGTTCATATCCTTTGCCCACTTTTGGATGGGGTTGTTTGTTTTTTTC